ATGAATCATACAGGATAGTGTAGTGAATGTTTTAATTAACCTAGAACACTGAATTGCCTTAAGTGTTTTTTGTTTGTTTTTGTAAAAGATATATAAGTCTAAATAAAGGGCATTAACAAAACCACACATGATAACACAGATATCTTTAAACAATAGGACTGAGGGTGAGAGGGTAGAAGCACAGGTCCATAGAATCTCACACAATGCCAATCAAATCCCATTGAGCCTTGGCCAAGTGGTTCAGTTGGTTGGAGCATTGTCCCATGCACCAACAGGGACAACAATTGATGTTTCTCTCTCATCTCTTTCTCTCTCTAAAAATAAATAAGCATATCCTTGGGTAAGGATTACAAAAAAAAAAAATTCCCATTGAAATACTTTTGTTGGGAGAAAGATGAGAAAAGAAAGGGATTATTAATGAGATAAAAAAATCTGTATATAAAAAAGCCTAAGTGATCGGCCAACTGGCCAGTAGCTATGACATGCAATGACTACCACGAGGCAGATGCTTAACACAGGAGCTGTTGAGAAGCAACTTTGCAGAGTGCCATTTCGCACTTCGGGACCTCTCAGAGGATGTTGGATTGCCAGTTTTGGCCTGATTCCTGCAGACCTACCCCCCCGCTCACTCCACATATGCCCTTTGAGGCAAGGCACTAACCCAGACATGGCCAGAAGGGACAATGGGAGGTTGGCTCCAGGGTGTGTCCAGCCCGTCTTGCCCAGTCCTGCTCAGGCCACCTTCTGATTATTTTCCTTTCAATGTGCAGGAATCCATGCACCAGGTCTCTAGTTCTATATATATCTATAACAGATGAGGCCAAGTAAATGATTAAATGGATACATTAAAACAATATGCCCAAATTGATTCCAGATGAATTTAAAAGTTTAAAAACAAAAAATATACAAAATTAGTAATTAGAATACAAAAGGTCTTTCTAATTATAATATAAAAAATATAGCAAAGTAAAAGGTAATAAAAGCTTAAAACTTTTCCCATCTTAAACAATAAGATTAAAGAATAAAAAAAGAAATCAAATTAAGGAAATTTGTAGAGTGCTCTTACAAATCAATAGAAATATAAACACTGGAGTAGAAAAAAAAAAGTGAGCATTTTTCTTTTACCAAATTAAAGTTGAAAGATATATTATACTTCCATTTTCAGGAGAGATGGAGCAGCTGATGACAAACAAGAATGCTTACTTCTACTGGCCAATTAGAAAAGCCAGATAAAATACAAGTAATCATCTGCTTGAAGGCAATACAGCAGCAATTTTCAACCAATGTGCTACAAGAATTTTAAAATATGAAAAACTTGACTATTTAGTCAGGAGCACTGACCTCATTTCCCTTAGATTGACAAATAAAAAAATGACAATAGTAACACAAAGATACCTGTCTGATAGGACTAAATAAAAATTATACCTATTTTGTCAGATTGGCAAAAATATATTTTTTGGTGTGCCACTGAGTTTTAGTAATTAGTTTCCATGCACCATGAGATGAAAAAAAGTTAAAAATCACTATAATAGATCATTACTGAGGGGAAGAAAGAACATCAGAGAAGTGAGCTGTCACGGTGGCCATTTCATCCTGGGGCGTGCCAGTTCTCAGCATGGGAGAGGCTGAGTTCCATGAAAAGCCAGTGTGAAGACTACATGAAGATCACTGTGAGGACAGAAAGACCCAAAAGAGCATTTGGTGGGGACTTAGGAGGTTCCAAGCACACATATGACTTTCTCATCAGAACATGTGCCATATACTGGGGGCTATTCAGAAGGGGGATTTTAAATCTAAACAGAAAGCTTCTGAGATCCCTTAATCTCAGAGACAGCTTATGTGATTTCAGGGAGTAGGGCCTTCATGATATACCAGACTAACAGATGAAAAAGTGATGGGCTAGGTAAACAAGAAGTTGAGTGAATTAGCCTCAATTTAGTTCAGTCCTTTCTGAGAAAAGAGGGAAACATGAGCAAAGAAAATAAAAAGAAAGAATTTTACCACAAAAATTAAATACTAAAATTAAAAATTAAATACTAAAATTAAAAATTCCAAAAGGATGAATATTAAAAATTAACAATTCAGCAGGTATGTTTAATAACAGTAGAATTAGCAGATGAGAAATTAAACTATTAAGATGTATACTTCCTCTAGATTCTAAGTAAACAATCTGAACATAATGCAACTACTTTTTATATTTCTGGATGTAAAACACTATTTACAAAGAGTATATATGTATTTTTTAAATAAGAAAAATACTATAACAAAAATGTGCAACTTTTTAAAAGTATGGTGGGTGTTGGAGATAATCTGGGGGAAAAGTAGGAGGATACTTTAGGTACAGTGCTTACAGGAACAAATGGCAGATTTTTAGAAAAATTATGTTATGTATAGAACATACAGACTATCCAAAACCACTAGAATCTACATAGTGAAGTACACCTCTAAAATGCCAATATATGGAACCAGAAAGGATAAAAAGAGAAAAGAACAAGATGCCAATATATGGAACCAGAAAGGATAAAAAGAGAAAAGAATAAATCTCATGTAATAAAGATAGTTTAAATTACTGCAAGGAACTTAGACCTTATATAGATTATGGGGAGTGGGGTTTAATATGACCATTTTTTCATTTTTAATACATTTATCTAGTTGCCAGGTAGAGGATGAATTTAAGGAGTCAAGACTCAAAGTAGAAAAACTAAGTAGATAGCTACAACAGCTCAGGTAAGTAAAATTAAGATCTAAATTAGAGAGTGGAAGAAATACAAAAGAATTTGAGAAACAGGAATAGTATCTTATCAGTAGAATTTTTAATTCCTTAGAAAAGACTGGCTAGGGTAAACTAGAAAAGAAAAGTCTTCTGTAAGTTCTGGTTTCCAGTTGGAGTGGGAAAGTGACGGTGGTGCACTTATCAAGATTGAGGGCAGTGAGAGGAGGTTTCAAGATGAAGGTGATAAATCCATGTTGAGACTTCTTTAATTTGAGGTGCTCAAGGAACATCTATATAGATCTATCCTGATGTTTCTCAATTAATTACCCACTTACCCACTAGAAATATAAACGTTAGGTTTCCAGGTATGATAGCAGAATAATTATCCATCCAAGATGTTTACATACTAATTCCCAGAACCTATAAATGTATAACCTTAGCTGGCAAAAGGAACTTTTTATAAGAGGTGGTAGAAGGTAAATTGCTATACAACAAGTCTTCCTCTTGCAATAGCGCTGATATTTTGAAAAATAGTTTCCTATGTTCCAGTTATTGGACAAATTTGGTTGTTTGCCAGAGTTGAGTTTTCTACCCCAAAAGTTCCTTTCCTGTTTTTTTACCCAGATTAATGAATTATAAATGATTTATGTTTTAACTAGTAAGAAAATAAAATGTCACTTGGACATGACCCTGGGCACCAGCTACTTTAACCTCCTCTCTCCCAAGATATATAGCAAATGAAATCGAAGTTTCAAAAACATGAGGCTGGTTAGTGATGAGGTGGGACTAGAATGACCTCCCTGACTCTCAGTCCAGGGCTCACTTCACAGTATGTGCCTCTCCAGGCATCTGACAGTGATATCTGCCCAACACTCAATGATGTGGAAACAAAAGAATATAATCAATGTTATCAGGATTTATAGCTGCAAATGCAATTCAATACTATAAAGTGCTAATCCTCAAAAGTATAACTATACACTTCAAAACTTTTTCCTAATGGGAAAAGCATTTCCAAGGCACAAGAAACCAGAGTAGAATCAACATGTAATTTTATAATATTTATAAACAAAATAGAATTAAAAACTCTTAAGAATTTCCAGTACATAACAAAAAATAGCAAGTCAATAAAAGATAAATATTGCTTTCCAACTATTCTAAAACTTTTGATACTAAGGCAATAAAAGAAATAGACACACAAATTGTACATAATTTGGCTGACCCAAAGAGTCTTGCCACCAATTAAGTTGCTTTCAATTTCAGATAGCTTTGCCTAAAACAAAAATACCATCTGTTTTACCTAAAACATTAAAGATGTTTTATTTTCTTGTCAATTCAGAAATCACATCTGTAGCCATTTTCTGAAAAGACAGCAAAACACATTATATTTATGGGTGACTGCATAAGGAATGATGTTCAATCAAAATGTAATTTTCATCTACTGAAAGAAAATTTCATTTCTCCAATGATAAAACACTGTAACTTTGGAGGAACACACAGTACATAAACAGGCTGATTTTCACAAATGAAAAGACCTTCGAAGTTAATGTAGTAAAATAAGGTTGTTTTGTTGGTAAAGACAGAACTGCCAAATATTCACTTTGTCAACGACTGAAATATATCTTGTATAAGATTCTTAGGTGAAAAGAAGAGAAAACAACTTTTTATTGGTGCTACATCTCTTCATGCTAGTGAAGCATCATATAAGAGGCAAAAACAGAAAAACAAAAAAACACAAAGTCACTTTCTACTTTGAAAATACTTGAAGACATAATATTGGTCCTGGGAAAGACATTCTACTCTACAATCTAATAAAATGATTGAAGAAGATACAAAACCCTAGAGAATACAAACATAATGTTACAAGAGATAAAGAACACATTTCGAAGAAAAAAAACACACAAGTTGTCAAATTACCTAAAATACTATGAGTATATATTAAATACAAAAAAAAAATCTTATACCCAGACATGTCTCAGTGTAAAAAATAACCAATTGTACACAGAATTTATGAAGAGCAAGGAGGATTAAGTTTGCAAGAAACTAGAAAAAATAAACAACCAAGGAAATCTATAATCGTCAATTTATGCACCCCCCTCCCTGTACAAACCACTTAAAAAAATTACTCTCAAGTCAGATATTTAATTTACTTTAACACAGTCATAGTGTATTATGTAACTCCAACAATGGGGAAGAACCTTTGGCACTACAGCAATAATAGAACAGAATCATTCAAAATTTGCATTATCTGGCAGACACACATAAACTAATTCCAGCTCTTCACTAACACTATCTTATCTTCTTTCCAAAGTTTTTCTTAAATTCTACAAGTGACATATTTCTAGATATCTGAACTGGAAATTATTCATTCCTAGACTAAAGGTGGTAGTCCCCATGCTAACCCAGCCGTGATATTACAAGGCATCAAAATACCTCACCATATTTTTCCTTCCCATCAAAATACCTCACCATATTTTTCTTTCCCATCTTCCTATAATCAGGACTTTCCTGATTATAGTCGTTGATGGGATAATTGCAAGATGTTGTCATTAACAAGCAAGATCAGTTTAATTTCATTAGACAAACCACACAACTCAATTCAATATAATAATATGTGAACAATAAACTAGAACCTCATGGCTAGATAAGAAAGTTTGATTTGAAGTATAAACAGCAAACTGTCAATTGAAATATTTGGCCTTCCAAGAAATTTAGCAGGCACTCACCAAACATATAACTATTGTGTCACTGCTTTTTAAGAAACCTTAAAACTATCATTTAAAATTCAATCTGTTTCATAACTTCCACAAATAAAATCTAACTTTAATAAAATCTAAAATAAATTTGACCTAGGAACAAAATCACAGCAGACTAATAACAAGGGGCCTAGGAAGAAAGACTTTTATGAAATTCACATAAAATTTATAAAAAAGAACAACCTGAAAGTACTAAGAAGATAAGCTCCGCATTATTAATCACTTAAAAGTCAGTGTGTTAGATTTACTAGTATAGTAGCCTACTTACATTCTCCTGAAACTTCTAAATGACATTAAAAATGTATAAGTAACTAATATACAATTATATTACTTAAAGTTGCTGATCATAAATATTAAACTGCCTTATTCAAAAATTATTAAAAAAATATTATTTCAGGAGGCACAAGAATAGAATAAGTAATTTTATGAAAAGGCAAATTCTGATAATGACTCTTGAAGTAGAGTCAGAAAGCTAGGACACTTGATTGAGTTAAGGAAAGGACTCCTACAAAGAAAAAAGTCAACACTTAAAGATATCCATGCTTAGGGAATGTGATTCAGAAGGGTGAAGATTCAGCACTGCACAACTAGCAAGCATTTCTTTAGAGACATTTCCAATAGTCTGTTAAAAAGGATGAAAATCAGGACATAGAGGAAAAGTTAAAGCACTCAAGTATAAATGCTAATAATCTAACACCAGTCAGAAGAATCAAGTTGGTATCTGCTATAATGCATCTTCATTAGGGATCTTGATAATCATTTAAATAAATTCATAATTCTTCCAAATTGTTACTCTACAGGTCTATTCTACAATATCCATCTTCAAAATCCAAGAAGTTTGAAAATAAAGATTTTACAAAAACATTTGGTGGCAAAAAAGAGCTGACATGAAACTACATTTAATTATTTATCCCACTGGATCTGACTATACAGATATTTAAAAGTATTTGATGAGTGAGTCCTGCGTCAGATTCTGAATTATTATGTAATGTGTACATATGGCATTTTCTTAAAATTTTGAATTAAATAATATATCTAACCCTGAATATTTCAGGTAAAGGGTTAAGAACTTGTATTTTGAGGCTAATTATATAGCAGAATGTAAGTCACAGACCACTTACAGGAGACACTCTTCCTGTATGGGTTTTGAGCAAGAAAGAACCAAGAAATAAAAGGGGAACAACTCTATGAAGAAATCCCAGCACAGTGCTACACAAGTCAGGAACACAAATAGATCTGCCATTGAATGAATGGCTGACAGAGCCAAGGAATTAGTAAATGCTAACATGGTCTTAAATAGGGCACTAAGAAATAACAAACATTTAAGAATACTGTATTTTCTTAATATGTGAACATCCCAAATCCCAATAGCATATATATGTTCTTATTTTATGAGCTTTTATTTTATCTCTCTCCAATTCTTAATTCTGCAATACTCAATTATATTTTGGTTTTGAAATAAATAAAAAAATCTGTTTCTTTAATATTTTTCTACCTGATAGGAATGCTTGAGAATAAGGTTTTTAAAAATTTGTAACACCCAGTGCTAATTTATTTAACACAAAAAGTGTATAGAACATAACTCCAGTTTGAGCTGAAGCAGGCAGGGAAGAGAAGGCAATGATCAGAAAACATGGTAGATGTCCTGGGACATAGGGTATTACTCATTAATGAGCCTAAGAGTAGATGCTGGTAGTGGCCTACCCAAGAGCCATTCTTATATTCTCATTTACTGATAAAACCAATTTTACTCAGGATGACAATTCTAGCTAAAAAGAAAAGAAAAAAGGAACCCCCAATCCCCGCAAAAACAAAACAAAACACACAAACACAACAACAACAACAACAACAACCACCAAGAGACTCTGCATGCTTTGGGTAGTCATGTGACACAGTTCTGGCCAATGAAATGTAATTAGAATTCAATAAGCAGAGTTTCTCAGAAAATTGTATCCCTAATTTAATAAAAGTCAGCAAACTCTACTGGCATAACTTTTATCCATGCTATTTCTCCTTCCTGGTTGGAACACAGGAGTAATGTGTGGAGAAGCAGGCATAATCTTGTCACAGGCAAAGGATGGCAGACCTGAAAGGTAAAGGGGCCAGGTCCTTCAATGACCCTGTGAAACAAATCATAAGTCTTAAACTACCTATCTTAAAACTTGTTCATAAGAAAAATTATGCTTTCTTATAAAGCCAATGAGATCTGTTATAGGTAGTCAAATGCAATACACACAAATGATATTGGATAACATAGGGAAGCCAACAAGTACCAAAGACTTAATATTGATCTTAAAAGAAGGTAACATTAAATGCAAGACAATTCTGCTAAAGCAAAAATTTTCTCATAAAGATTCATCACTATAAACAAACTTTTCCTTAAAGGGCTGTTTATTTTTAAATGTGTTTTTCTTAACAGCCCATCAAATATTACATGTAACTTCTTTCTCATACTGTTCATCTAACCATCTCAATTAGCTATCAATTCAGCAAACACCTCATATGTGCCAAACACTCTTTCCTTATTTTACTCAACTATCCACAACTTCTTCAATTCAAACCGGTCCTCTGCATTTTCTCCACAGAAATTGAAAGCCATATTTCATTAAGACTTAAGCTAAAACCTCAGTATTTACCAATCCTACAATGCTGTTATTACAAAAAGAAATGCTAATTTGATATTTTTTATAAACTTAGAATTTTGTGAACACAGAATATTTGGCTAATCCACTGATGGTTATTGTTGTCCAAATTGTAAAGTATTTTAAAATATCTGTTCACATGATAAGGCTGAGAGAAATATCTTCCAGGGCACTGCCCAGTTTGAATGCTCCTGGCCCATATTACTAGACCACTTTCCTGGAAGACTGCTCCATGTGTGATGGTAGAATGCTTAACAAGATGCAGGTCATGACTTCACTGGGTTAATAGGACATCTATTCAAAGGAACATTATACATGTAGGAAGTGGGAAAACTTAAGTCCTGTGGGAGCTTATAAAAGTGACACCTAGCCCTGACTCAAAGATATTAGGGGAAGGTTCCACAGAATGTAACATCTAAGCTGAGTCCTAAAAAATAACCAGGAATCAATCAGACAAATTGGGGGGATTTGGGGGAGATGGTGGTAGTTTTTTTGTTTTGTTTTTCCCCAAGCAGCAGAAGTCTAGAAGAGAGAACTTGGTATGCCATGGAATTGATAGGTGAGGTGTGAAGCACACAGTACAGGCTGGGGTGGTATGAAAGGTGCTGCTAGAGAAACCAAAATGCAGACACATAAGCCAAGTTAGCATCTAGAAATTTACTCACAGGTCAAGGGATAATAAATGGGTTTTGAGCTAAGGAGTTATTTATTTTGTTGAGTGCCTACCAACTGCTAAATTCCAAAGTATTAAATTCATATAAATAAACATTATTTAATTTTCTCAACAAATGAATGAGGGAGAGACATCTGTGACAAGGTTGTGGCCATCACAGAAGTAGAGTAGTGGCATTGAAGGTCAAAAATAAAACTGAGATACAAGTCAATGTAAGAAATAGAATGAAAGACCTGGAGTTTGTTTGGATACAAGTTGAAAAAAAGTGATGAAAATGATCAGGGTAAATTCTATAATTCATTATCTAAATGAATACACTTTTGAGAGTGAGTGGGGACACTGGTGACAAACTGGAACATATGATCACTGTAAAATCAAGGCCCAGGTTTCTGGCCTGATAAGCCTGCTGACAATGGCAAAGTTTTATTAAAGAGCTTGGGACCACAGAATAGGTTTGCGTGGAGAGGAGTTCAGTTGTAAACACACTGAGGAGGTCTTCTAAATGGAGCTATGCAACTGGCCTATGGGTATGTGGGTCTGGAACTCTGGATACTTTTCTTACAAATACATATTGAGGGAATCAATAGTACCTTGAAAATAAATAAAGGCAACCAAGTAGGAAATAACACTCTCACCAGGAGCATTTATCTTTTAAATCTTACTTAAGCAAAACAATTATTTATTTAAGATCTAGAAGCTCCTGCCTCTCTACCTCTTTCAAATGATATTACCTAAAGCTATAGATCTACATTACTATGAGTAAACTACCTTTACATTATAAAAGTTCTGCCCTAACTAGATTGGCATTTCTCCTTTCAGTTTGGTGTTACAACAATTATTTGGATTTTGCAATATCTATTTCTAACGTCTTCTCAATTTTGGTCCATATACCTGTGAGCTGAGGTTAGACTTTATCAAGACAATTTTTTAAAAGAAGGGTGAATTCTGTGTGTTTTATAAGGAATTACATATTTTCAAATGTCTTTTTGATGCCTTCACATATGAAACATAACTAAGTATAAAATGATTTCAATACTTCATATTGTTCTCATCACAGAGAAGAAACATAAGGCAGTCTAGCTTTTGTTCCATATTATATGATATTTGTTTTAATGCCTGGATATTTGACAATATATCTTTTTCTTTTTAATTGAATTGAGTTACCAAGATGTGCTATGGATGACTCTCTTTTCATTTATACTACCCAGAAATAAGCTCTTTTCATCTATAAAGAGAGATCTTTTCAGCTCAGAAACTTTTTATCAATTATATCTTTGATCATTGCCTCTGCTCCATTTTTTTCCCTAAAGAAAAATCTATAACTCTTTTAACAAACTTATGTTCCCAAGAACAATAAGAAGGGGTCTCAGGGATGAATGAAAAAGGTGAAAGAGATTAAAAAGTACACGTTGAAAGTTATAAAAATAATCACAAGGATGTAAAGTACAGAGTAGGGATTACAGTCAATAATATTGTAATAACTTTGTATGGTGTCAGATGGGTACTATATAAACATTGAGTTGATCACTTTGGAAGGAATTTTAGGGATAAAATAGGGAAGTTTAGGGAGTCTTAGGAATAAAGAGGGCCCATGAGAGAGGAAAGCATAGGTGAGAACTTGGAGCCACCAGAAGACACACATTCACAGAGAATAGAAAGATGCCACAGGGAAGAGGAAAACAATTTCACAGAGTATAAAGAAAAATCAGAGTATGGGGAAAAAGAAAACATACTTTCACAGAGGATAGAGAAATGTCAACAGATGCTGGAAAGAGGAAAACATATGTTCTCAGGAGATAAAGGGATGTTGCAAGATAAGGGGGGGAAAAAGAGGGAGGCAACATAGGTTTTGGACTTTGAAGATGATACTCTGCAAAAGAGTGACCAATTAGAAAAGCTCAAGGTCATAAAATAGGGAAGGGTCCAATTAAAAGAGAGCATTAAGTTGCAAATCAAAAAGACAATGTAATACCATCTCACACCTGTCAGAATGGCTATCATCAACAAATCAACAAATGACAAGTGTTGGAGGGGATGCAGAGAAAAAGGAACCCTCATGCACTGCTGGTGGGAATGCAGTGGAGAACAGTATGGAGTTTCCTCAAAAAACTAAAAATGGAACTCCCATTTGACCCAATGATTCCACTTTTAGAAAAATATACAAAGAAACTAGAAACACCAATTAGAAAGGATATATGCACCCCTATGTTCATAGCAGCACAATTTACAATAGCTGAGATTTGGAAACAGCCTAAGTGCCCATCAGCAGATGAGTGGATTAAAAAACTGTGGTACATCTACACAATGGAATACTAAGTTGCAGTAAAAAAGGAGTTCTTACCATTTGCAACAACATAGATGGAACTGGAGAGCATTATGCTAAGTAAAATAAGCCAGGCAGAGAAAGATAAATATCACATGTTCTCACTCATTTATGGAATATAATGAACAACATAAACTGATGAGCAAAAACAGATCCAGAGACAGAGAAACATCAATTAGACCATCAAACCTCAGAGGGAAGGTAGGGGAGGGTGGGAGTAAGAGGAAGAGAGCAACCAAAGAACTTCTATGCATGCATATAAGCCTAACCAATGGCTACAGACAACAGGGGGGTGAGGGCATGAGTGGGGGAAAATGGGGGAGTAATGTGGTAATAAGGACACATATGTAACACCTTAATAAAGAAATTAAAAGAGAGAGAGAGAGAGAACTATAGCCTTCATAAACCTTAGAAAAAGGGGGCTTAGTGGGTCACCCCCTTGGGAATCCCTCCCTACATGGGAGTCTGTATTTGCTTCCAATAAATTTCCACCCTTTTACTAACAAGTCCTTTTATAAAAGCCCACAAATTTTATTCTTCAAATATTGTGAGGCAAGAACTGGCAAGGGGGAGATCCACTCTCCACACCCCATGTTTAAACTTCATTAAATACCACTATGTTGTATACCTCAAACTAATATAATATTGTATGTCAACTGCAATTGAAAATTTTTAAAATATCTGTAGGGTTTTTGTTGTTGTTGAAATCCTGTTGTTTATAGCTATGTATCTATAATTGTCTTTCTCATTACCATTCATCTTCCTTTTCTCTGCATTCTTAAAAAGTATCTCAAGAGTTTTAATTTTTTAAATTCATGTCAGTGATACACCCTTTCACAATGTCTGCTTTACTCTTCAGAATCACTAATGATGTTCTAGCCTCCCACTGATCTACAGCACTCCTCCCATTTTCATATCTTGTTCTTTCATTTCAGCCTTTTGCTTCCTGTTTCATATTTTGCTTAGAGATCACAACTCAACCATTTTGAGAATTCCAAAGAGGTTTCATTAAAAAAATTTTTTCTGGTCTCTGTAATAAATCATTTTTATGGGGTAAGTTGTTCTTCTGAGTCTTCACACTATTCCCATTTTTGTCATTTTGTAGAACTTTGTCATAGGTTTCTGATGGTAACTTTTCCATTTATTTACTCTCATAGAAGTAACAT